ATCTCGCTTACTTTCGCAGCACTCCTGCTCCATTTATCTGTCCAAGGTCCGGGATGTTAATGGTAGGGCTGGTAGCTCTCCGTTTACTCTCTTCCCACCTGCTCTGATGCTTGCTGGTGTTTCTTTTTCCTTTTTTTCCCCTCCCATCCTTTTGCATGGCTGATGGATATGCAGAGTATGTGGGATGAAGCGAGCACTACTGTCACCAAACTGATGGTATTCAGTGACTCCTCTAGCTCCTGGCTAGTCTGTACTGCAGGAGCCTGACACCCTGACCACTGAGGCATAAAAAACAGAGAATTGGAAGGCTCAGCCTGTCAGGCAATAGAGCATCCCCCAGAGAGGCCTGGAAATCTAGGATATTTTCTCTCTCTCTCTCTCTCTCTCTCTCTCTCTCTCTCTCTCTCTCTCTCTCTCTCTCGATACTTGTGCAGGAATGCTGATTATTCTTGGAAACAGAACATCTTTCTCCACAGAGGCAAGGAAATAGCACAACATAGAGGCGGGGAAATAGCACAGCTGGCTGCAACAGCATGGAGGAAGATTTACTTGAGCAAAGGAAATGAAGTTTATGAGATTTCTTCTTCTAGACTATAGGATTATAGAGCAATTGTACCGGGTTCCTCTTCCTGAGTCCACGGATGGGCACAGAACATAGATGAAAATAGGCCAGAATTCCTAATAATTATGGATTCAGTTAATATTAACATTGGGAATTCAGTACCTGGGTGACCAACAATTGTTAAAAACAACAACAAAAATCAAATAAAAAATTAAACAAGAAAAAAACTCCACCCCAAATCCATGACATCTATATTTACATGGGTACCACAAGCAACACACAAAGGAAAAGTTAAAACCCTTAATATCTCATGGCTGAAACTACTAACTTTCTGATCTCCATGCCAGGAAATACACAACTAGGTCTTTATAGCTTTCCTAAGAGTTGACAGGATTGGTGCAAGTTGCATCTTGAGAATATGATGTTCTAGGGGCAGGTGTTGCAAGAGAAAAGGATCCTTTCTTTCTGGGTCCCGCTAGAAGGTGACTGGTTTTAATCATTGGGACCCATAGCATGACTGTACTATTGAATTATTTGTAGTAAAGCCATGATTTCCCCATCAATCCACTGGATTTTGGATACAAAGGTTTGGTTGCGTCAACATGCATGTGTTCAATATCTGTTCAATAATATGAAAATGTGCTATCCAATCTAACCACATATGAAGAGGGTATGATAGCAAAATAAGTGAATGTATCACTGTCTAACCTATGATTCTCAGTCTTTAGTATCTTATGCCCTGGTAATCACTGGAAAAATCTGGTTTACAACATGATATAAACAAGATCCTACTTTTTCCAAGAAGAACATTTAGATATTTACAGATATTTTGTTACATTAATTTGGATTTAATGTTAGTATTTTAATTCCTTCTGGACAATGTATATACTGGTTGAGAAGACCTGGTCTACAAATACAGATGCTCCAAGATGTAGTAAATTGATAGAGATAGGTCTTACTACCTCTATGAGTTTGTGTATGAGGTTTCGGTAGTATAACATCTGTACTGTATGGTATTATTGGAACTGTTATAAAAAAAACAAATAATTGAAATAATATTAATCATAAACTGTTGGTAATTATACACAGTGAAACTATTAAATGCATCTATTCTTAAACTAAAACAAAATCAAAAGCAGAGAGTTTGTTTTGGGTTAACAGGCTCATCTATAACAAAGAAGATTCAGATGAATATTTGTGTGAAGCGAACCATACATAAAATAAAAATAAAAAGTAAATAAAATAAAAAGCTTAATATGATTCTGTTTAAGGTTATACTCCGAGATCGTTCATCCAGGTGTTATTTTCTATTTAAAGGAAAGTAAGAATTGATTAAAAGGCCTATTTTTTTCTCATTATATCGACAGTGCAATTTTAGCAGTGAAAAAGATAAAGAGTATGATGGTTGTTTTCTATGTGTGAAGTAACTCATAAAGAGGGCAGGTCAATTTAAACACTTGATTTCTAATTTCCCTCTCACTACTACCTCCAGGGGTAGCTGATATTGTAGAGTAGTTAAAATCAGTCAGTTTATTAAGAGCCGACATAATCTTCACGTCCAGTAGAAATCATGCCACAAGATAAAGTGTGAAAAGGCTCACATTCTCTTCACAAAATGATCCAGTCTCCTGGTGGGTCTGTACCAATTAAATTTTCAGGAGGGACCAGGGAAATGTTTATTTGAAAGCTAGCCTACATGAACTTCATTACTTTAGTTTCCACAGTGGGGGAGTAACATTGATTCACTGTCAAACACCACAGAAAGCAGACAAGAAATAGTAAAAATATGGCAACCAGGCCTTTGTATGGCATTTGTCTTGATTTTTTGTCTCCCAGAAGTCCAGTTGTGTGATACCACACTAAAATAAACATGTAAGCTGAAGATAGGACCTTCATAATGTAGATGCGCTAATAGATTTAAACATCACAGGCATCATGTTTTAAGTTTGTGCAAGGTATTCTTCTCTTTACAAGATTTATTTTCATAGAGGTATGTTACCTAAACAGGCTTAGAATATTTTTAGTGCCTTTTCTAACAAACAGAAAAATAGTCAGATAGAGGGAAGACCATGTCTTCCCTTGATTATTATCTAACAATTTCCCCCACACACACCCAAACAATAGGAACTATATGCCACCTTGTTCCAGGAACCTTTATTAAACAACATTGAAGTTTAATCCTTAAAGTTCTTTCCCAAAAGAACTATAGTGCAAAACAAACAAACAAACAAACAAACATGGTATAGGTAAATAAGCTTCGATTTCCCAAACCTTTTCTGCTGGTAGATGCCAAAGTAGAGATGTAGCTATAAAGCTCTTTTTATTAGTAGATTTAAAAATATTTTATGTTGACATGGTATAGGGTTTCCTGCCTGAACAGGGGGTTGGACTAGATGACCTCCAAGGTCCCTTCCAACTTTTTATTATTATTATTATTGATCATCACACAGTCAGCTAGATGTTCAAACTGGATTTGGCATTTTTGTCTACCTATCGAGTCCTTACCAAGGACCCTGGGATAGGCAGATGTGGATGTTTGATGGTATTACAGATATCGTTGCAGGATGGAAGCAGTTCCTAGTAAGGCTGCCTTTTGCAATTGACTAATGATGAATTTGTCAATGCCAATGGTGTTCAAGTGGTGCTCCAGTTGTTTTGGAATTGCACCCAAGGCACCTATTACTGTTGGTACTACTCTTGCTTGCCTTTGCCACAGTCTTTCTATTTCTATTTGTAGGTCTTTGTATTTTGTTATCTTCTCCAGTTCTTTCTCGTCTATTCTGCTGTCTCCAGGCACTGCCACGTCTACTATCCAGACTTTTTTGTCTTACTTATCGACAATGGTTAAGTCCGAGGTGTTATGTTGCAGGTGCTTGTCTGTTTGAATTCTGAAGTCCCAGAGCAGTTTAATTTTATCATTTTCTATGACTTTCTCTATTTTATGATCCCATCAGTTCTTGCTTACAGGAAAATGATATTTCTTGCAGATCTTCCAGTGCACCATAGTTGCTACTTTGTTGTTGTTGTTGTTATTGTTATTATTATTATAATAATAACATAGTCTGCAACATTCTTATTCAACTCCCTTTACTTACTCATACTTACCCTTCAAAGTATACTGAATTAACTTGTATATGGTAAGGATATATGTTTTCTTTTTAAAAGTTTGTTTGATTTCCCTTCAAGTTGTTTATTGTATTTTAAATTGTAAGCCTCCTGTTATTAAATAAACTCTAACTGGAAATCATTTTAGACTATAATTTAAACCTAGACTAATACCACCTCTATAGTTCTCTTTGCATAGTAATATAGACTGAATTATTGAATTTATTACAATTTATTACAACTCATAATTTTATTTGATGATTTATGCTGTAATGACCATAATGCTTGATATTCAGTCATACTTACAGTTTAGTAATGATTCTTAGTCCTTTAAAGTGATACAGTAAATAATCTATTGATTTTTTTTTAAAGCTAATCAATAATAGTTGTCGGTACTCCAACACTAGAGATTTTTAAGAAGAGATTGGGCAACCATTTGTCTGAAATGGTATAGGGCAGGAAATGCTTGAGCAGGAGGTTAGACTAGAAGACCTCCAAGATCCCTTCCAACTCTGTTATTCTGTTATATATTAGAGACCTATAACCTATAACCTGATTTTCTAAATCCCTAGTTTATTCAAATGTATTTTATTCTTTTATTTTTGGAACTTTTAAAATGTATTTTCTTTAAATTGGTTGATAAAAGTATCCTCCTTCCCAAAAGTATGTGGATAATGAAAAAAGAATTCAGGCAGTTCAGAATCAATGCAGCACAACTGAAACTAAATGTGGTTGAATTTGATTCAAAATCACCATCTAAATAGCAAAGATAGTACCAATAGTAATAGATCCCTTGGTGTAATCCCAAACTTCTGGAGCACCACTTGAACACCATTGGCATTGACAAAATCAGTCAATTGCAAAAGGCAGCTTTATTTGGAACAGCTTACATTCTGCAGTGATGTCTTAACATATCAAACAACATCTGCCTCTCCCAGGTCTTTGGGAAAGATTTGATAGGTGGATAAAAATGCCAAATCTAGTCTGACCTCCTGGCTGACTGTGTGACCAACCATAATAACAATAATTCATTATTTAATCCTGCCTTCCAATTTCAATACTATTAGGAGTATAACAACAATAAAATGATTTAAAATGTGAAGAACTATAACAAGAATAAAGATGTAGTAACACGAATAAAGATTCTAAGCACAACTGCAGCACAAAACAAGCAGCATTCAGATTGTAATAGCAGGCAACATGTCACAACCAAGAACCGACTTTCTTTTCATTCACTGTATTAAGTCATTTGTTAGAATTCAGATGACTTTTTAACCATCTCTGCTATTTTACTTGATCTTCATTGAAACCTTTTCTTTTTTCTTTATTTCAGGGAGTGAGTTTTCTGGAAGTCCGTACAGTCACCCACAATATTCAACATACAACGATTCCTGGAGATTTCCTAACCCTGGATTGTTAGGTAAGTTTGTTCTCATACCATTAAAGCCATAGCCTAATCCAAAATTCAGGAGACCATTATATATAATGGCTGTAACTGACAAACAATGGCTAAAATTTGCTCTTTTTTTGTAGAAAAGAGCAAATAAAGTCCCTAGCTTTCCTAAAAGAAAGCTGCCATCAAATCAGTACTGAAACTGAACAATTTAAGGCTGAGAGCAAACAACACAAATAACCCTATGCTAGCATTAATAGAAATGCAGTACCGAGGACATGATCTTAAGTTTATTTGATGCTAACTTCATTTGACAAGTTTGGAAATCGCTAAAAAGACTGCGCATAGCAAGATCAAGGAATACTTTGAATAAATGGGGATACCTGGTGACTTCTGCTCACTGTGAATGTGGAGACTTGCAGACTGCCATGCACATGTACACTTGTCCCCATGTGCCCTGCCCAATATATTCTTGAGGACCTTATGATAGGGCAACTGTATGCAATCCATGTTGTACATTTCTGGATAAGCACCACCTAAATTAGGCTTTTATACCAATAGCAATAGCACTTAGACTTATATACAGCTTCACAGTGCTTTACAGCCTTCTCTAAGTGGTTACAGAGTCAGCATATTGCCCCCAACAATCTGGGTCCTCAAGCCAACCTTGAGCCAATGAGAATGGCAACCAGCAGTTGGCAGAAGTAGCCTGCAATTCCGCATTCTAACCACTATGCCACTTTATAAGAGAAGAGCCATTAGAATACAGTATTGCAGGCTAACTCTCCCCACTGCCAGGAGTTCAATCCTGACTAGCTCAAAGTTGAGTCAGCCTTCCATTCTTCCGAGGTTGATAAAATGAGGACCCAGATTGTTGGAGGCTATATGCTGACTCTGTAAACCACTTAGAAAGGGCTGTAAAGTATTGTGAAGCAGTATATAAGTCTAAGTGCTGTTGCTATCGCTATATATTTTAAATTTTATGTTCTTATGCCTGTACTTATATCTATGCATAAAATTTTAATAATGATGCTTTTAACATGAGTAATAATAATAGAATATAGAATCATAGCGATGGATATAATAATAAGTTCAATTGCTTTGAAACATTCTGGAGAGCCTTCTCTATAGCTAAATATCAATATCTAACAGTATATGTAATATTTAATCACCAAACTACATAGACCCGAACTGATTAATTTACAACCCCTTCGTGCTTAAAGTCTAAAGTCTCTTTGTTTTCAGTTGAATTCATTTCAAGTAATTCTTGTTATTTAACGTAAATGTGAGAGATAGGAAAGGACTACAACTGCGTATAATTGCCTTCTTTTAACAAACCATAATTAAGATATCCATATTCCGACATCACAACAATCATCTCAGATGGCATTTGCCAAGATTTTCTGTGGCTCACTTTCAGTCTGCCATGGTTATTCAGAGATGAAAGAAGTTTGAAAAAGCGATCTCTATTCCTGCTGTATATAATTGTTTCCCTTTTGCTTTTGGCACATAGGATACAAAAATAGCGCAAATCCCCCTGTAATAAATTTAGCCACAACTGGCAGGGGTATAAAAGAAATGTAGCCTATGGGATTTTGAATCCATTCCCATATTATATTTAACTCCCCCAAGCTACTGGCTTTTTCATGTTATACCTGCAGACTTTATTGAGGCTCCACTGTGATTTGGAATTAATTTGAAGAAATGCATTAAAATGTTTGGGAGTGTGAATGCTGAACTTGTCTGCAACTCATTAAAGTAGCCATGTCTTTTCCATGAGGGGATAGACCACTTCTAACTGCATGCACTAAGCACCTCCTACAAATCAAATCCAAGGCATTGCATCCCCTTAATGTTTTATGGATAGTTTTCTGAATTCATGTCCCAATTTTTAATTTAATGTAGAAGAAATTATGGGGGAAAACATATTTCTTTTGCATATGTTTCATCATACTGCTGGCTGAATACTCCTTCAATCTTTTGGGATTCAGTAAAGATGATTCTGTTTTGGTAGAAGAGAGCAGTACAACTTATATTTACAAATAAACAGTCTTTCTTCAGGATCTCTTCTTTCCTCTTTAAACTGTTTTTTTTTCATTTTGTTTTTTATTACATATTTAGTATCCAGACACATAGGGGAGATTTTAGGGCATGTAATTTTGCAATAAGACAGAATCCAAATGGTTCTGGAAAAAAAAAACTCCTTACAGACCCTTGGAAATCCCTAAGTAACTCACCCTCACCCTCACTTTAATAAGGAGGATAAGCAGCATCCATTTTACGCCACTGTCAAAATCTGGCCCAACTTGACCTTACATGTGTGTAGCACATGGTGATTAGAATTCTTCTGCATAATCTATGTGAATGAGGTAAGTAAAATACCAATTAATTGTCACTTCTGTAGCAGAAAGATACGGTGCCTTGGAGACTTTCAGATTTATGGATGGCAAGGTTGTTATGTGTGACCTCTAGCAGAGAAATAATTTTAAATTTTTGTCATTTTTTAAAATTCAGTTTCTTTGTTTTAAGTAATTGAGTCCCTAAGTAATTGAGCCACCTAAGATCTACCCATCACATTTCTTGCCCTTAAACAAATCCTTTGGGAGGAATTGATGGGTTATAGCATTCTGTGTCACACTGCTTTTTACAGTACAAAATTGCCATTTACTGTGCTGTAAGTAAGGGTCTGGTGTTGCTCGCAGCTCAGATCAGAAGCTGTTTTCTAATACTGTTTCAGCACATACTCAACTCAAGGCTAACTAATTTGACATAAAACGGACTATAGCTACTTACAAAAGGCATGATGGTTAGCTCTTGGGACTGGTTCCCACACATACAAGTACTTATTTCCTTGTTTGTTACTTGCTTGTTACTCCTTGCTGATTGCCAATAAGTATTTTGCTACATATGCAATGCATGAAATACAGTACAGTAGTAGCTTTCTGAGGTGGTAGATTAAACTGACTCAATTTGGATCCTAGTATAGGTATCATTTTTATCACCCCTAATCTGATATAAACCTGTCTGCAAGTAGCTCATATCATAGTTTGTCCTGTGCTAGCAATGAATACATAGTCTGTCCTGTGCTAGCCATGTTTATAATAAGTTAACCACAATACGAGGGTTTTTTTTAAAGAAAAAAACCTTCAATAGTATTTAATTGAATGCGATAATTGAAATACATTCAACAACTTATCTTATCTAAACAAATCAGCTTCTCTAGCCAGATATCCTTCATACGTTTCCTTGCCTATTTGTTCAGGAAATATGAGGGTTTTTTTTTTTTTTGCTATGTCTGTGGGATTTATTATATCTATTGCACATTTCCCAGTTTTATTGGAAATGATCAATTTCTGGACAAAAGATAATATAACAAGAAATGTTTAAAACTTTCTCCTAAAGCCATCTATTTCATAGGGTCTTTTGTCCTGAAATGCAGTATGTCTGAGAGAGTAGTAAATGAAATACAGACCCTAATCAGTTATTAATATTGCAGTTTGTTCCGTGAAATATTTTGAAGAGCTTTTAAAATTAGTTAACTAAAACAACAAAAAATTTAATACACAAAATTATAAAAGAAGAAAAAAAGTTGAACACCCCACCAAAAGCATACAAGATGTATATAGTATTTACAAACATCAGTACACTGAAACCATGATTAGTTACAGTCATCCACAACTGATCTATTTTGATCCGCCCTACAAGCCACTGAATAGATTCTCCTTGTTTTACTGGCCAGCCAAACTGTCCCCTGTTGCCATCATGCAAGATAATGTTGTTCTTAAAGTGGAGAAGGCTGATGCAAGGAAAGAAAAAAAATATATCATATTTTTAAAGTACTTGAGTTTACCAATGTTGAACCAAGTGAGCTAATGTGGAAGATTAGGTATTAGATTTAATCAGATTGTTTTTGGGATAATATTAAAAGACAATCCCTGTACGCACCACTTTGAATTGTCAGAAATAAGGAAATATATTATTGCAAATTATTATGATATAATACAATGATAAATTATTATTTACATTGATTTGGGAAAGCAGTGGTAACTCAATATGAGCTACACAAATGTAATATGATTCCCTTATCTCATGTTTGAAATAGGGTGGAAATTGATGGTTTCAAGCTTCAATATTATAAGTTCTTAGGAAAACTTTTCTTGGGCTTTTCTTGGTTTTCAGCTGCAGCTGGATATTGGATAAGACATAGATTTTCTCTGAGTTGGATGTTTGTTAGTAAAATTTGCTATTTTTTTAATTCGTTTTATTGATTTTCTAATTTCACATTTAAATATTTGAAAAGCAACGTGGCAACTGACTTGGTCAATAATTCAATAACATACAAATATCTTTAGTCCAGATCTCAAACTATTACATTAAATATTTCCTCTCTTTTCCCTTGGTATTTACTGTCTCATATTTAAATTAATACAATTCTTATTATATCGATTAAATAAAAATAACTTTCTTATATTTATCAATAATTTTTGTTTATACATATCCTAGTTGTTTTAACATTCAATCTTTTTAGACAATAAATATCCTGTTTAGTTTTTCCCAATTTTTAGTTTCCCATTCATATTTAAATTTAATGTTTAGTATTTGTAATTTCCAAGTTTTAAATAATCCCAGTTCCCTTTATCACAATTCATCACAAGATCTAATGTTCAGGATACGCATCTTATCTATTTTAATTCTCATCATCTTACATCAACCAATTAATAATACAACATACTATTCTTATTTTCTGATAATTTCCAAATATCTTAAATTTAATAACCAAAATTTCTCTTATTTCAACATTTAATACTTTCTTCTTCTCTTAATATCTACCATCTCATATTTAAGCTAGTAATTTTTTTTATTGCCGCTAAGTAAGAACATATTTATTACATTCATCAATAAATTTTAGCTTATATATATCTTAATTACCTTTACAATTAATCTTTATAAGCAAATCGATGTTCAAATTCAACTGTTAATATTTAAAATTTGCTATTTTATTATTGAATGATTTGGGGAAGGCACCT